CTTGGAGATGGAGCCGCCACCCCACTATACCATCACCGTCATGGTTGAAGAGGCCCTGAGGAAGAACCTGGAAATTGTAAAGAAGATCCTGCAAGCCATTGGGCACAAACATCATGGGAAGTACTATCTGGGACTGTGTTGATTCCATCTTTGGACTTATATCAGAAATTGATTGAGCACCATTGTTTTAAATCTTGGATGTTTTACCATGTATTATATGTTTTAAAGTTATTATGTATAACATGTTTTAGTTATGGCATGGTTGTTTACCTTGCCCTTGTTAGCCGCCCTGAGCCCATTGGGGAGGGTGGGATGCAAATGTGAAAAATAACGTAATGTATGATGTATAATGGAAAATCATATTAAAAAAAAAAACACCACTATTAAAAATGCAACAGTTCTCATGTTTGGCAACAATCAGTTTATTTTCAAAGGATTTTGTTCTCTGTTACGTGCAAGGGCAGTTTAGTCTCAGGTATTTTCGGCAATCTTGGCACGCTGGAACAGTAGTACAAGTGGAATAAAGCAAAAATGTATTTGAATACAGAGAATACAGAGAAATGAGGAAAATGTATGCACTCTGTCAACTGAGATTTAAGACAATTTTCAAAGCAGTAGGTTTTCAGTTGTTTATATCAATGTCCCTCATGAATGTTAACACTTTTTTTCTTCATGCTTTGAGTATCAGTAAAATTTTGACCTCATCCAGAGAACCAAAGAAACTACCCACAGCTATAGGAACACTGCTGTCCATGGAGTTCCCAGTACTAGCTTGTGTATAGACTTCCATACAAGGATAGCAAATGAGTTTCAATTTATTTACTGGATTTCTGGTCTTTTCTCCCATGTGCTTTAACAGATCTGCACTGGAAATCTCTTTCCATGTGGGAACTGCATTCTCACTATTCCTTTCCTCCTATCCTTGTGCTTCCCTATTGATGTAGATTGCGAGACCCAGGGGTCATTTCCTGCAGGAGCGCACAGGAGCGGAACTCTGGCAGTAAAGAGCCCAAAGGGCGGGCACATGCAACAAGCCCCACCCCCTGCTCCCAGCAGCCCTCAGTCAGAGCAAGAAGCAGCCAGGTAAGTTGCAGAGCCCCCCCTGGCCCCCCAGTCCAAAACAGTCCAGTGGCACCTTTAAGACCAAGTTTTATTCAGGTACAAGCTCTCCCCCTCCTCTGCGAGGACAGATCTGCACGTCCCCCCCCCCAATAGCTAGCAATCCAAAACAGTCCAGTGGCACCTGAGTGGTGGGTGTTGCCTTCTGACACACTGCTGGTGATGTCAGGGGGTGTGGCATATGCAAATAAGTTATGCGAATGAGTTATGCTAATGAGCTCCTGCACCTCTTTTTCTACGAAATGACCCCTGGCGAGACCTTTGGCTAAGAACGGTGTAATGTGTTCACTGCGATGTCGTACACAGATAATACACATTAAATAGTAGCAGGAGCCCTGACCTTGTCTATGAGTTGGTCTGAATTTAAGCATTTGGGTTTTCCGGGATAACAGACTGATTTGATACCTACCAAGTGAAATTTACTTCTTAGTAAAGAATGCTGAGATATGAATTCTGTGAAGAATTTAAATATCACTTGTTTGCCAAGAATTTCAATGGAATGGATCCCAGAGTCACCAGACTGAAAGAAGCACAATTGCAAGAGTGACAGAAGGGGATCCCCCCCCCCCTAGATTTCCCATCTCACTACACACCCCAGTGCCCCATGTCCATTTTGTTCTCCAATTCAGTAGACAATTTTCAGGGTATGTGGGCAAGGAGAGATGGGGAAGAGCCTTTTGCATGAGCTCCTTCCACTCATGCAACTATGGATTCAAACTGGATCCAGTGATCAATCAGTGGAAGGTGCTGACAGTGGCAGATATTTCCCATGTTTCCCTCCACTGCAGTCCATTCTCACTCTGGGAAAGTTTTAGTCCCAGCCATCTGTGTAAACAATTCCCACTGGATTAAAAAAAATGGGTTGGATCACTCTTTCTGGTTCTTCTGATGGTGCAGCTCTGCTAACAGAAGAGGGCGGAGAAGGTCATTTTGTCCCCTTCCTCTTGCCTACCGTATCTTCCGAACCCATATGGGTATTAGTCCATATGAGTCCCACAACTCTTGGAATAAACTTTTCTGAGGGTGGAAAGGACTGCTAGAGGGAGAGGAACATGGGAAAGATCTGTGATCCCTGCATCTGCAAAAATGCAACCCACTATTATTATGCTGAATCCAGTGTGTAAGTCTATAGACCAGTGGGGGCGAACCTATGGCATGGGTGCCAGAGGTGGCACTCAGAGCCCTCTCTGTGGGCACGCATGCCATCGCCCCAGCCAGGCCCAGACCATCATTAAAGTGTCGAATTCTCTGCCAAATAATTTTAAGTAAAAGAAAGCTTTTGGGATTGCTTTCCTTACTTTGTTTGGATCATCTTAAATTAATGTATGAGTTGTTTTTTCTAAAGTAAAACCTCAGTATTCAGGTTAAATTGACATGTTGGCACTCTGCGATAAATAAGTGGGTTTTGGATCGCAGTTTGGGCACTCGGTCTCTAAAAGGTTCGCTATCACTGCTATAGACTGACACAAATGGTTGCTTTACTGACTCATGTCCAAGCCTTGACAAAGACTATTCAATATTTTAAAGGTTGACAGAATGAATTGCAAAATGTGATTCTGTTTAGTTATAGGATCTGTACAAACCTGCCTTATGTAGGTAAAAAATACAGCACAGCAAAGTATACTTTTTACCCATCCTTTGGTAAACTGTTTTTCTATAATCCAAAATCTGTCTATGAGAAATACAATTTTTAAAATTTTTTCACATACACTGCACTTAAGATTGTTTCAACTCCTTATTATCATTTATGATCAGCTCTTCACTTATTGACAATTATAACTAAACTTCAATCATGGCTTTTGGGAGATGATTAATGACATGTTGAGTTTCGATTCGAGGTATCCAGTGAACAGGTTGCAGAATCACATGTCCATCTAATTAACATTTCTCTATTGACAGATGTGTGCGATTTGACAAAAGTTGTTCAATACCTATATATCTGTAGTATTCTTCAAAATGTATACATTTGGTTTCTCCCATGTTATTAAAAAAATGTCCTGCAATAGGGGAAAAAACATTTGTTAAAGTCCTTGTCAAATTGTGTTCAAAATTAAAAATTGTAATAGTAATACTAGGTAACAATGAAAAAAAACTTCTGTTTACAACATCTATCTGTACTGAGAATATGCCCAAAAACTTATGCAAATTGCAATAAAAATAAACTAACATACTTATCGGCCCCGTTAAGACTGGCAATTTGCCCCGCTACAGCCACGCTTCAGCGACGTTTCCCAAGCGGATTAAAGGGGGCGTTCACACAGGCACATCTGCTTGGCGTTCCCCACCCGTGGGCAACCTGTGCTGTTCCGCTTCGCTCCCGCGTTAAAAAGATACCTGACAAAAGTAGTAGCAAATCCCGGAGAGCGCCTTTATCCCGCGTTATTCCGCTTCCCGGAAGTGTGAACGCGAAGTCGTAAAGCCGGGAGCAACCCGCTTCTACAGTGTGCGCCGGGTGTTTTCTGCGCATAAGGCAGCAGCGACCGGATTGGCTGTGCTCTGCTCTACCGCCCAATGCGATGGCAGCGCAACGGGGTCCACCCCAAATTGGCCAGATGTGCTTATGCGCATGAGCGCATATGCGCCCATAGACACATAGAGGAAAAAGCCATTTACAGCCGCGCCTCCGGGCCAGAAGTCTGAATGCTCCCACGTGCCTCCTCCCAGTATGCTCCCGCATCTGTTGGCCCCGTGTGACCGGGAAAACCCGAAGCAGTTTATTCCGGGGCTTTTTTGCCACGCTGCAAATTGCCAGTCTGAACTCAGCCATCATTAACCACCATTTACTGTAGTAGTGACAGTAGTTTAGCACACTGGGAATAAATAAGGGAGAGGCAACGTAAGGCTCATGTATTTTTGTGCTTTTGATGTAACATGCAAAGGGAGAACTTGTGCATCTCTTCCATACATGAAACATTTTCACAGCAGCAGGTTTTCCCCTTGGAGCACTACAGCAGAAGCACAAAATACGGGAGCGCATCTCACTTGTACTTTTGCCACTACTTCCTTGTCAGTGCAAAACCTCCCTAATTTATCAGCATATTTCACTGGATTTTAAGGAGTTTTACATCTGTTGTACTGCAATTATTCTTATTATTGTTGTTATTAGTGTTGTTATTATTGTTGTTATTATTTGCAAATCATAAATTTAGACGTTCAGATCAACTGTATTATGAAACAAAATTTGGCTGTGCTCTGCTCTACCGCCCAATGCGATGGCAGCGCAACGGGGTCCACCCCAAATTGGCCAGATGTGCTTATGCGCATGAGCGCATATGCGCCCATAGACACATAGAGGAAAAAGCCGTTTACAGCCGCGCCTCCGGGCCAGAAGTCTGAATGCTCCCACGTGCCTCCTCCCAGTATGCTCCCGCATCTGTTGGCCCCGTGTGACCGGGAAAACCCGGAGCAGTTTATTCCGGGGCTTTTTTGCCACGACTGGCTCCCGCTGCAAATTGCCAGTCTGAACTCAGCCATCATTAACCACCATTTACTGTAGTAGTGACAGTAGTTTAGCACACTGGGAATAAATAAGGGAGAGGCAACGTAAGGATCACGTATTTTTGTGCTTTTGATGTAACATGCAAAGGGAGAACTTGTGCAACTCTTCTGTACATGAAACATTTTCACAGCCGCAGGTTTTCCCCTTGGAGCACTACAGCGGAAGCACAAAATACGGGAGCGTGTCTCACTTGTACTTTTGCCACTGCTTCCTTGTCAGTGCAAAACCTCCCTAAGTTATCAGCATATTTCACTGGATTTTAAGGAGTTTTACATCTGTTGTACTGGAATTATTGTTATTATTGTTGTTATTATTGTTGTTATTATTATTGTTGTTGCTATTATTATTATTATTTGCAAATCATAAATTTAGAAGTTCAGATCAACTGTATTATGAAACAAAATAGGTAAGGATAAATTTGGAGAGGAAGTGACAGTAGAAGATTATAAATCAGTCCATATCAGCTATTCAGCACTGAAACCAGTAGGAACAGGGATATTTGTTTTTTAGACCAGCCTGATCTGCATGTTTAAGAAGTAAGCAATTGTAAATATTATTTTTGAGCTTTCTAATTGTATGTTCTCTGTTATGGATCTGCTGTTGCTAAGATAACGGACCTTCCCCCACTTTCTCCTTCCCTCCAGGAGTCTCTTCTGACTCCAAAATGTAGATTCCTGGAGTCACGGGGCCTGCGTGGATTAACAGCCGTGTGGGTTAGCTGGATGTAGTGTGTACATGTCTTTTTTTGTGTGTGCGCACACTCTGCTCATGGAATAAGCAGGAAGGGTCAATTTTACTCCCCTTTCCCTCCTCACTGCAGCCCACTGACCCAGCTGGCTATTACTTCATGTGTGTCCCACAACCCCAGGAATCAATTTTCCAGGTTTGGAAGGGACTGCTGGAGGGAAGGGAAGGTGGGGATGATCCACAACCATCAGTACCTTCTGCTGCTGGATCACTAGATCTATGATGGAAGGGATTGTATGTCTTTTGCATGGGAGCAATTAGGAATTGGGAATAACCAACCAAATTAGGTAGCAGACAGTAAGAACAAACTAACAAAAGTGTAAGAAGAAACTGATTTTTAAAAAGCATCAAAATAGAAATATTTTATAGAAAATGCCCATATGTGCTACATTATAATACCAAAATAACCTTGCATCGTGCATGAACATTCTATAGGTTTTAGTACTAATGTGAAAATGTAATCGACTTTAAAAAAAAACAGGCAATGCCAAAGAACAGGATTTGCAGTATCATGAAAAGTATAGGCAGGTGCATACTTCAGAATGAAAACATCTGCACCAGAGCATAATATGTCTGTCTATTCATCATGAGGGAACACAGCAGTAGTTCAGATGCAGGAGAAACCCTTCTGTGTACACAGATGTACTGTGTTCAACAACTTTCTGTTTAGGTAGGGACTAGCAGATGATGAAAAAATAGGGCTAAATATAGAGGACATTAGAACACCCAATAAGGATGGAAGTTCTAGTTTTGTTACTATGTCCAGACACAAATAATTTATTTTAAAGGTATTGTGGGAAATAAATGCTTTACCTTCAAGATCTTCCATCGTCCAATCTTTGTACCATTTATAAAACCTCTCCTGATAGGCAATTTGACAGTTATTGGCCCTGATAAGTAACTGGACTTATTCTTATGGCTACTGCTAGCTGGCATCATGTCTTTCTCCAGCTTAACTTTCTCTGTCCTAATCCCATTTTCTTCAGATTTTTTTCATATGTTTAGTGTCTTGTTCCTTTCTGTTGACATCTGTCCAGCATGCTTATATCGTTCCTAAAATCTGGTAACTAAAGCTGGACCTAAATCTGAAAAGTTCACCTGAGGCCAAATAAAGGGAGTCTAGATTAATTTTTGGAGAACGTGTTTATAGCGGCAGAAGTGAAGTCTTACATTTCATCATCATATTCTTTGGGAGGAGATACTGCAATGACCAAGTCAATCCAATCCTGTGAAAGAAAGGTATTATCAATATTAGATTTAAAATAATCAGGAAATCAAAAATCAAATCTTCAAAGTAGACTTTTTTCTTAGAGTATAATAGGCTGCGGTCAGATAACAGGCTTCGTGTGGTCTAGCCCTGCCTCTACTTAATTCAGGTTTTTTGTAATGGAGAGTTCTGATCAGACATCTTACCCTTAACCTGCTTCACCATGCTCTCCCCCTGTGGTTTTTTAATCAGATACAGCAGCCACAGAGTGGGGCAGTCAGTCAGCTTTTTATTTGTCTTTTGAGCATGTGCATAAGGAGTTTGTAAGCCGCCCTGAGACTCCTTTGGGTAGTGAAGGGCGGGGTATAAATCCAATCTCTTCTTCTTCTTCTTCTTCTTCAAAAAGGAATAGGTTTTACTGAAACAAAGTGAATGCTTATAACCTCCATATTTACCCAATGAGTCTGTGTATTTCTTTGTACTGTATTAATTGATACATCTAATATATATAAATATATTTTAAGTATGATTCCTATACCTCCTTCACTTTTATTTCTGTAGAAAGCAGTTTTGGTATTCTTATCTTCTTGTATTTAACCAATAACCTGATTAATGAAGTATGAAGGTAAAGGTAAAGGTTTCCCTTGCTCGAAAGCCAGTCGAATCCGACTCTAGGGTTGCGGTGCTCATCTCCGTTTCCAAGCCGAAGAGCCAGCACTGTCCGAAGACGTTTCTGTGGTCATGTGACCGGCATGACTAAACACCAAGGTGCACGGAACGCTGTTACCTTCCCACCAAAGTGGTACCTATTTATCTACTTGCAATTTCTTGCTTTCGAACTGCTAGGTTGGCAGGAGCTGGAACTGGAGACGGGAGCTCACTCCGTCCTGTAGCAACTCGGGTCTCGAACTGCTGATCTACCGACCTTCCACAGCCTGCAGTTCAGCGTCTTAACCACTTGAGCCACCGCAGCTCCTTTTAATGAAGTATAGCCACTTCTAAAAAGCTAAGTGAGATATCTAAATAACAGAAAGACCAGTCTAGATAAGGAAGTAGCTGCTAACTTACCCCTCCCATGTTCCAGGCTTTAGTGAGAGTTGCTTGAGCTTCCTCCAGCTTGACATCCAACAAAATCTTGCCATTCACAGCCATTATTTCATCCCCCTTTACAATTCCTCCTGATAAAAGAAATACAGGAAAGTTTCCCTGAATTGCATCAGCATTTAGTACCCAGCGCTTTGACAAATCTGGAGTGTTTATTGAAGGGAAGAATCCTGAATAGTAGATACAGACTGTCGGGACCCACTGATATTGGGGCCCGACTAACAACCGTTCCTCAACCCAGCCACGGGCACCAGGATGTCCCTGAGCCTCAGCCCTCCAGCCTCCCCACACTTACTGAATCGGGAGGGAGCAGGCGGAACAGTGCCAATGGTGCTCCCGCAACCCCACCATCTGGAGATGACAGAAGTGTTATGTACGCGGACCGCCACCAGGGGTCCACGGCACAGTCTGGAGCTTGGCTCCCCTGAACAATAGGAACATAGGATCCTAGTTCCCCCCGCATCAACCAATAGCCACTTTGGCGGGAAATTCAAACCCTCCAATGGGTGTGTATATAGTTGGCCCTGTCGGGCTGTTAGAGTTAGTCTTGTGTTAAGTACAGTAAACATGTGCAAGAGCATGTCGTCGTCCGAGTCCTCCATGCGGCGAACCCAGTACTTTTCAAGAAGCAAGGGCAGGGCTGCAGTCCTCCCGCTGGCAGGATATAACGAGGGACACACAGCTGGACAAGGAGCAGTGGCAAGCAGCCGGCATGATGAGGCAGGGCAGGGACAGCCAGCTCGAGCGGAGCCCATGGAAGCCAGTGGGGATTGGGTGGCCACTGGGGATGGGGGCAAATGAGCACATGACAATACTGGGGAGCCAGGAGATGCCGGGGATGAAAGGAGCAAGCTGCCTGAGAAATGTGGCTGCAGTGATGCCGATGGCTGGGGGGAAAGGGGACGGCATGGGCAACAAGGGAGGGGCAGAGCACGTGGAACGGCTGAGCCAATAGCCAAGTCAGGAAAGGGACTGGCAAGCCCAGCAGCAAATAGAGGGGAGAGGAGGGGGGATAAAAAGGGGACTTCCAAGGATGGCCAAGGAGGATTGCCGTCCACGCATGCCAACTCCTGTGGGAGGAACAGGGCTGAGAACCCCGGAGGCACAGGGAGAGGAGGCCAAGGGTGAGAGAACCCCCTCCCTTTGATAGCGTGGTAGTCTGAGGCCTGAGGAGACTCAAGAGGGTGGAGAGAGAGAGAGACTCCGAGGGCGCGGGTCAGCTGACACATGTCATGCTGTTTGAAAACAAATACAGGAATCGGACTACATAAATACTATTTTTATAGTCATAGTCACAGAAGAGTAGAATCTGCTGACTTACATGTATGGCCCAATTAAACTCTACGCAGGAGATTTTGAAAAGTACCATCAGAGCTCGTTTGTAGTCTATGATACAAATATCTCAGTGTGATGTTACGTTACACATCTCTTGTTTATCTATGGCATTTGTGCCATGTGGCATTTATCATACTGAGTCTACTTGGAGTCACTGCTGGCCACTGAATAGTCTTGAAATACGTGAGTACACTAAATAATTAAAACGATAAGAAAGAACACTGCCACAACACAATGTCATTTATGACTGCAGGAGCTGCAATAACAATATCAACAACAGAAATGGAGATAAGGGCATCTCAGTTAGGATTTTGGCAACAGTTTACATAATGCCCAAAATGTGTGTTTTTTTAAGTTTGAGGTAAAGGGTTCCTTGCAGTTCGTTTAGCCATTTCATTTTAAAACGTTTGGGAAATTCCAGTAGTTTGGATAGCCTTCTTGAGAACAGCATGGTTTACTGGAGTACAGACTGCTTGGGATCGTGATGCTCTGGTGTGGGAGGCTACCTGGCAACGACCTGCCCGGTGGACACATCCCTGGGTCCATCAGCTCAGGAATCACCTGGGCAGAGCAGTGGCAGGAGGGTGCAGCCATGGTAGCTTCAGCGACAGGGAAGCTTTGGCAGTCTGTCCTAGGAAAGCTCAAAGATATGGAGGCAATGAACAAACCTGGATGGGACAGTAATCGGGGAACTTCCATCGTCTGGAGGTCGGGGAACTTCCATTGCCTGGAGGTCGGGGAACTTCCATCGCCTGGAGGTTCCAGGCCCCCAGGAAGCGAAGTTGACCCAAACCAGGACCAGGGCGTTTTCAGTGGTGGCTCCCACCTGGTGGAATGAGCTCCCGGAAGAGACTCGGGCCCTGCGGGACCTAGTGCAGTTCCGCAGGGCCTGCAAGACGGAGCTCTTCCGCCAGGCCTTTGAGGGGGAGCC